AAACTATGCATGCCTATTATTACATTAATAAGGCTGAAAAAACATCCAAATATGTGTTTTATTACACCACTGGTTTGATATAAATGCCAACATATAGTACAAATATATTTCTTATTTATTATTGTAAGTTTGACAGTATTGGTAGTACAGAAATCGACTGTGACGTTATAACAGAATCTCATAGCAGAATCATACTTTGATATTCAAAATATTAAATCATTTGAAGCTGCTACGGAACGGATCCAATCGTTGTATAATAATGTTTAAAATATTCCCTCTTTTGTCATCCGAGAGGGAAATTTACGAGAAGGTAGCTATCGTCACAACTTATAAAATATATATAGTCTGTGCAACCTTGCTGCTACCAGTTGGCAAGCGATCGCTACAGTCCTGCAACCGGTTTTCAGTCTCCAAGTGGTTGCTGACAGGTTGTTTATCGCTCGCCTAACGGTGTGCGACTGGTAACCTCTGATTTGAAGATTGTCTGTAAGAGGTTGCAGATACCATATTGTAACCTTGTTACAACCGGTTAGCAACTGCTTGCCGATCAAAATATGCAAATTAGGTCGCAAAGTGATCGCAAGCGACCACCAGATTTTGTGGTTGCAAAGAGGTTGCCAAAAGGTTGCAAGCGCAGTGTGACCCAGCCTTAAGTGAGCGTTAACCTTTTAGCTATAACATTTTCATAGTGCTGCACAAGCCACTGTCACATACCTTGAGCTAAAGGGTAGATGCTTGCCAAGGTTAACATTTTCTTTTGAGCACCTGCTGCAACATTTAAATGTTACGCCATGTAACATTGTCACGCTTAATTAACCTGGTTATAACATGAATGCTACTTTATACTTGAAATTGAAAGATCGCCGGTTAGTTTTCTACGATGTCAAACGGCTTTTAATGCTGTATGAAGGATAAAATTTCGCCAATTTTTAATACTGCGACATCATTATTGTGTCAGTTAATTTGATGGAGGGGGGGGGTTCTATCCTCTTCACCAAGATAAAATATTAATTTTCAATGATATAATTCCATCGAATGAAACAAACTTATAGTGACAAAATACAATATACAAAAACTCTTTCGTTCTGTCCAAAAATTGTTTCAATATGTGCTGAGCGAAACTGTGCGAGAAACACTTGACCGGCTTTCGTTATACTGTAATTATGACATTCAAAATAAGTAGATATGATGCAGTTTTGTCGGTGGCTTTTTATTTTCTGTTAAACAACATCTACCAAATGCAACCCTCGCTGGTAGAAAGCCTGGAACGGTTTCTCTGCATTGCGGTAGTTGTTACGTTTTGCTTAGATCCGAGTTTAACTGTTGTACGCACAATGGTGCTTTCAAATTGTTGTCTCGTTGATAGAGGATACTTTTAACTTACAGGAGAGTTTTCGAATTAAAGCAGATTTTTACAGCAGAACACACTTGTGATAGCACAAAGCATTTGTACAAAAATATGCACTCATTAGTGAGAACAAAAACCGATAAAATGTGTCTATATAACGGAAATTCAATTATTATGTTATTTTGTGTTTGGAATTCACACTCTGCTTAATACTGCTAGGTTAGAGGGTACGTAAACTAGCTACCTTAAATGCTTAATTAAGTTATTGTTATAATAATTTAAAGGTCAAGTTCATAGATTGACAAAAAGTGGAGATATAGTTCCTGACAGTACTTGAAAGATGCATATTTTAACATATTTGCCAGGTGAAATATGGATAACGAAATCCAATAGGTAGGCTGTGCAGTTATGTGTCATGGAGATTGAAGTTACGGGTACGCCAGAACGTTACATAGAGCCAAAAGTGAGATTTCATAACAAGCTATCTCATTTTCGATAGTTTCTTTGAACAGCGACATGAAGATTGTCAGCAACTTGATTTTTTCAAAATATTCATATTGATTGCCCTAATATAAAGAAACGCGCTAGATGGTGCCAGAATGCTTTTCAAAATCAATTAAAGCAAAATGAAATCAAGTATAAGACAAACTTTATTTCCTGATTAATATTCCTTTCTGTTCATACCAAATAAGAAATAAGACTTTATTATTCTTCTATGGTTATAAATTGTAATTTGAAATATTCTCCCAAATCAAAGATTCATTCTTAAATAAGGCTTTTTTTCAAATCTTCAAAGTGCTTTCATGTGTAGGCCTTATTAAGGTGCATAGTTCCAGTCCAAATGTCCAGGTTATATACACGATTTAATCGCAATGTCTCAGGCAAGTTTGTATTTATGTCATGTAGTGTTTGACTGAATAATTATTATACAGCTTTTTTTAAAATTCCCTCTGCTGTAACATTCACACATTTAGCCAACGAGAAGTTTCCTCAGATTCATCCCTCTCTTGCACTTCCGGTTCCAGAAAGTCAACTGACCGAGATCAAAGACGTCTTCCGAGTTGCAGCAGAGATACGTCTTTGATGCATAGGTGCTCAGTTCTTCCCCGCAGTCCTCCCCCGGGTTGTAGAACACTACCACTCTCTTCCCTGGGGGGTCAATGCGATGGTTGTACGTCTCGCACATAATCTGCCCCATGGCTTTGTAGACTGGGGCCTGAGCTGAATTCTCCACCAGAAGCCTGGTATCAAGCCCAAGGTTATCTCCCACGATGATCCTTGCCAGACGTTCGCAGTCGGCTGGGCAGTTGCGAAGTACCTTGAGGCAAGTGAGGAGGTCCCTTTGGTTGTCTATGACGTCGCGTTTGCGCCGAGTGTTGTAGAAGTTGGGGTACTTGTCCGTAATGACATAAGCGGCGCTGTCGTTGCCATACATGTCTGTAGCCCACAGAGTCTTGTGGCCGTAGATTAATGTTGGGAGGTCAAACAAGATAGGACCTTGAGCGGTGCTGTTGGTTTCAGCTCTGAGTCGGCATCGGCAGCTGTTTGAACAAAAAACAAAATTACAATACTAAATGCCAATACTGTTAAAAGTAGATTCTTACAATGATACTGGAAAGAGAAAAATCAACAGAATTATAATAATGCAGTGATGCAGTTATGCTGCAACAATTTTGAGGCCAAACAGAATGTCTTATTACAGTGACGTTATCTTCTGGGTGTAAATAGTTGTCCCCCCAGCTTTCTTAGATCACAATTGAAATGCATGCGAGGTAAATAATATATATATATAGAACACAGTTTAGAAGAATGTGATGGATGAGGATGCACTGAGAATCGTAAAATACTCACCGTCTAATGTTTGTATCAGTTGGTTTCTCACCTGGAATAAAAAGGTATGTGCTACCTTAAAATTCATGAAATTACCCTTTTTGTGCATAGGCCTACGTCAGCAATAATAATAATGCGTGAATGCGAACCAAACGTCATTAATTCTCTTTTAAGAAGAAAGGTTTTTAAATTACCAAGTGCCAAAAATGTTTACTTGAATATTGCAACATTAATTTTTTCTATAGTGACAATAAGGTAATCAGAACGTAATCAGAACTAAGAACGTAAATGCAAAAAGAAAAAAACCTATTTGCTAAAGATACAAAAACCAAACATTATTAAGTGTCAGTAAAAAATTTCCATTACCGTGACAATTTAACCCGTCTCCAGCATATCCCACGTTGCACACGCATTCAAAGGAGCCACGCGTGTTGATGCACGTCGCGTGCTGCGAGCAAGGGTTTCTTTTACACTCATTGGCGTCCTGGTCTGAAATTAGAAAAATGACATAAATAACCACTATGTATTTGTAAGCAGTCATGCACCATCTGCCAGTAAATAAAGTGTAAGCGCTCTAGTACGTACAAGTACTGGTCACGTGCGTGCAAATGAAGGAAAATGTACTGAATGACGTGTACTGATGTGACCTCCAATATAGCGTGGCTTTGTTTGGAAAAACATGTGAAGTGGGATTTTTGTGTAAGCGACGCAACCGCAGAACAAGCTAAATCTGACAAGAACGCATACCACAAGTAAGTTTATCATTCCCCAGCTCCCAGCTGACAGGACAACTACAGATGGCGCCACCGTTACTATCAGTACAGTTATGACTGCATCCGCCATTGTTAATGCGGCATGTGCTGACTGGAAGAAAATATTTAAAAAAATAATGAATCATATGATCATAGCAAAAAATGAATGTTTGTGAGGGAAGGTGGCGCCTCAGTACAATATGAAATTTGTTGAATTCAATTTGCATTGGACAGTTATGTTTAACGGTTCGAGAAGTTGATACATGCAACGTATGGTAAAATTTTGAGTAACCTAATATTTTATTTAGTACAAACTTTGTTATTCGAAACAGTAACACAAGGATGGTTGGCATTATAGGGTTTAAAATGTTATTCCCAGAGTTTTTTTTTTACTGAGGGTTGCTGTACTTAATTTCACCAAAACTTCTTACTGCACGTTTGTTTATCTTCCGCTAACATCAGATGTGCCGGACACCCACAGGATATTTTCCCCTTATTGTCAGCTACACAGAAATGACTGCAACCGCCATTTTGGTAAAGGCATGGAGTTACTGAAAATAATGACTTATATTGATGACATTGTTTTTTTTAAATATGTACTGTTTCAAGAAAGCTCCGCTGTTTAGGCCTAGTGCTACACATTTTCTTTTCAGAGATCAAAACCAGAGGCAACAAGGTTGGATCTACTGTGCCATGCAATAATGTGATATGTTTTCATACCAAAGTTTATTCCTTTGATGAGCTGATTATAAGATTAAAAATGCAACAAAAATAAAACAACTATGAAAAGCATACATGTATCAAATTTCATTTGGCCTTTGACACACGTTTCTGTATGTCCGTCTAGTACCAGCAAGAGCTTGTACATGCATGAAGTGATTCAAGGTAAACTTGATATAACGCGGTTACAACCTGTACGAACTTATCTGAGGTATTACCACAAATCTTCTTATCTCTTGCCAGAACCAGTGCAGGTGGACATGTACATGTGATGGTAGCATTCACGTCACTATGGCAACTGTGACTACACCCACCATTGTCTATGTCGCATGGGGATACTGTAAATGAAGGTGATCCGAATAATAAAACAATGCATTTGCAGCAGATCACTGGTGATTCATTTGGCTTAGGCTCAGACATTTTAGCTTTTACTTACCGTTAACTATACGTGACTATACACTAAATACACAATTGTAGTGGTAAATGAACGAGCACTTAAGTAAATGAGACGACACATTAATTTTGATATAATGATTTTGATATATCTTATCTTATTAGGAGAGGACGCTGTAAATCGTCCCCCTTGCATGCAAATAATGCCATCAACAGAGGGCGTATGGGGCCCAAGCACAGAGATTTCTCTTACCGCACGTGTTCTTGTCCTCCGCCAGCACCAGGTTGCTAGGACACGTACACACTGGGTTCCCTTTGTCACCAGTACAGCCGTGAGTACAAGTACTGTTCAGACAGGGGTCGCTGGTGTCGGTCACTGGAAATGTAGAATAATATTATAAATATATACCTAGGCCGCAATGGCTCACATGGTAGGAGAATACACATACTACGGAATGGCTCTCATAGTTGAGGCCGTGCAAGAAATTCCTTTCCCCAAATGCCCAAGCACGCACATTGTATATACTTTCAGTGGTTATAACATCGGACACCTAGGCTGGCGACAGGTCTTCTGATATAGATGTACAGGTAGTGAATTGATTTTAATTCAAGGAAACGAAACATCTGCCTCAGCTATTTACTTTAATACACCACAGCGTTTGGATATAATTTAAGGAGAGAATGGGAGATATTTAATTCGAATTAAAATAAAATTTAAATTGATTTTTCGCCTTAACTCATTAAATAGAAAATAAGATAAACACTAAGTTGTCCAAATGGCCAACCACACAAAATTTGCATTTGCCGTTGTAAGTACCTCCGCACATGTTAACATGGCAGTAACTCCACTGATACTGAGGGAACTTGTAAACAAAGTACCCGCCCGGACATTTCCGCACCATGGCGTAGTCAAAGGTGGTGTGCGAGTTGTGGTAGCAGGTACAGCTGGAGCTGGAGGGCCGAGTGCAGATCTTTCTTTTGACGATGCCGTTCCTCACAGTTGGATGACCTCCTAATAGCCATCGTGTTTTACCATTTCCTCCACAATGACCCCAGGTCACACACTGGAGACGGACAGCATGGGTTTTATTTTCTTCAGTGTAAGAGGTGTTGTAAACCTAATATATGTGCTCAACAAATTTTTCATTTTGGATAAGAAGGTTAATAAATGTTGGTTCCAGATCACCCTACTGACAAATTATTGTTGGCACCTACAAGTTAAAGCGAGTCCAGCTCAGGAACGTATATCTAAATTATACCTCTGTGAACCTTCATTGAATGGGATGTGCTGCTGAGTGATAGCGGGATAAGAAATGAAAACTGGACTTACAACCTACTGTATGTACCTGGTATATCGGTGAAAAACCCATTTACAAGTAACATGCTATATTGTTATTATTCAAGAGCCATTTGTTAACTTGCCGAGTCCGCCATCCGGTTGCCTGCGCCTTTCACAAATCTGTACCAGCCTTCGAAACTATTCGTATCGTCACAATAACTGTTTGAACCATATCGTGCATTTCTCCATTCCTGATCCAAAAGATTGTATCTCCTACATGGGTCCACTGAAAAAATCCATGCAGTGTAAAGTATCTGGGTCCACTGTACTTATTTCGCTTTGGAATGCCATTGATTTTTTTTTTCACTTTAAAGTTTCCATAGTCTTCTCTTTGTACTGTGTCAGATAAAACGAATCGAAGTTCCATGCCAAGTTATGCATCATTTTTATTTATTTTGCAAGGAAAATAAACTGTAAAAGACACGTGGTCTTTCCATGTGGATTTCAATTAATTTTGACATTTAAAATGTACATACCGCACGTTTTCTGGTTTTTGCCCAACTCCATGGTATCTGGGCACTCGCAAGTTTTGCTACCAGCTCCTTGTGACCGACAAGTATGACTGCATCCGCCATTGTCACTTGAACACGGAGATACTGAAAGTAAACCACACCAAATGTGCCCTCTTGTGTATCAGTAGCAAATTCATATATATATATATATATATATATATATATATATATATATATATATATATATATATCATCTCTCTCAGTCTCAATTAATCATTTAAGAACGCGTATCAGTTCATAGTTAGATGAAAGTGAAAAATGAAGTCAAAGATATATGCGCGAATTCTACTTTTTCTAATTTTGGTGACAGAAAATGATAAATCTGGCTTTTTGTGTAAATCATTGCAAATGTTAGAATTCATACCTTGCAAGTATGGGGGATTTTCGTATTCAGAAACTCTTAAAAATAGCAAGTCTTTTGTATAATATTTGTAAGTTATTAATACTTAAAGAAATAGACTGCGCTAAAGGAGTATTACGAGATGCACGTTTATTTTAGCTTACTGATACATTTTGTCCTCAACTTTAAGTATATTTTTTCAGAATACATGGTAGCAAAGGTTTTGCAAATTACTTTCTATGAGAATTCAGTTTTCCCGTGTTTTGTGTAAAACAAATAAAAACTGTTTCCTGTCACCATTTCCTCTTGTTAAAGATGAATGTAAATGAACTGAGGTTTTATTATTGGCTAAATTATTTAAAAAAAGCATCAAACAGCTAAAAAATGACCTGCACAAAAGACGTAACGAAACTTTTTTCTCCCAATCTTTAAAAACCCGGCGACATCGCAAAAGTATCTGCACGCTATTTATTGAGTTATTTAACATTTACAGACATCTGAGACGTTAGATATCATACTCATTTCCCGACAAGTTTCAGATTTACTACTTTGGTAACACAGATCGATTGAAGATCGTGAAATGGTGCCCCGAGCGACAGATACGAATGTTCAAAATTTAGTCCGTTTATGTTCTTTGTGTGAGAACAGATAATTCTGGTAATTATTATTATTATTATTATTATTATTATTGTTCATAATTAACTTGCTAGACTGATGTAAGTTAAGTTTTACTTGGACAAACAATCCCGCTCGCTTACTTTTAATGAAATATTGAAATGTTAAATGGATCTTTATATTGAGAATGAGTAAAATTATACGTAGCAAAATACTACTCACCGCAGCTTTGGTTTTGGTTTGAGTTGAGTATGTTAGCCGGACACGTGCACTGCGCCTGGCCATTCTGGTTGACACACCCGTATGTACAGTTACTATCTAGGCAAGGGTCACTGGTGTCTTTAACTGATTAATTTGAAAAATATAGTATTAAACAATATTTAACAATAATAGAGCGATTTAAATGGATAATACTTTAAGTTGTTTTAATTAAAATACGCAAGCTTTCATGGCATGTTAATGGTTCGTTAAACCCAGTGCAATCAAGGGTGAATTGATAACATGTATATATAACAGAAGGTATTGTGTGTGTTTCGATGTCTAATCTTTTACGACTTGCAACATTTTACACAGAATAAATTAGTTAGATGTAGATGAGTTGAAAAGTCGCGCCTGCAGAAGTTCCCACCACGGTCATGATATTTGTGCGACCCGGCACAGTGCTTTTAGTAATAACCAAACAGAACCGTTACCTACTGGTTTCATTAAACACAAGAAAAAGAGCATAAAGGGACAGACGTATTTTAAATCATACCTGCACAGAATGCCCTGTGACACATGTATTGCAGATTTGGCAGCTGATACACATAATATCCTCCTGGGCACTTCTTCACCTTGACGTATTCATATTGTTGAAGATTTGAATAATGAGAGATGGTAGCACACGTAGAGGAATAGTATGTGCACAGTCGTCGTGACACTATGCCGTTACTGACCTTTGGGTGACCGCCGGATAACCAGATCGGGTAGCGGGTGCCGCAGTGGCTTTGTGATGGCGCCTGGGAGAGTACATTTTACACATGTACACTTTTGTTGAGTTATATAACACTTTAAGCAAAACGTAAATTTCTTTATGGTTGGTAAATACACGATGGCCAAGATTCTGATTTTATTATTTATTTATTGTTTCAATTTTTAAAGTTCTCTTCAAGTATCTCTTTGAGTATTACCTTTTAAAGAGTCATGACATAATACAACTTTCTCAGTTCACGATGTATGTGTGTGTGTGTGTTTTTTTTAATTGGGGGAAAAGTCATATACATGTAATTAGGAGATACAAAATGCATCACTGTACCGAATCAGGCATCTTGTTGCCAGCCCTCCCCATGAAGCGGTACCAGCCATGCCAGCGGTGACTGATATCACAGAAGTATTTTTGTCCGTAGTTTATGTTCCTCCATTCGTCAGTTATGGGTTGATAGTTGTGACACGGGTCTTCTGTAAACCGAGAGGATTCGTTAATACAAATCATGATCTTCTGTGTAAGTTATGTTCAAATACGATTTTGTTCAATCTACGAAGTAAATAGGTGTTTAATGTCAGATCAACTGTCTAATTTCAAAACGACTGGAATTTTCAGGTTTAGTACCCTCTGCTAAACACGAATAGCTTACTAAAATAAAGGTGCGTTATTGGTCTAAGTAATCTTGAATTGGATCATACAAACATAGCCGACGTGTTGAAAAAGGCCACTTTTGCCATGCAGCGTGAGAGAAAATTGGGATTCAAGATCCAATTGTGAATTTCTCTATTAAATATTAAAAAAATATCAAGGTATATGGTTTACTTACCGTTTGCTCTAACAGGGACCCATAAAATCCCCATGAGCAGGAATAACACCTGATATCGTGCGTCTATCATGTCGCAGGGTTATATCGTGAAATGATGACGGTAACTACGATATTAATATATGACGATATATGATCCTACGTATCAACCAATGGAATAAATAGTTCAAAAGTTGAAGAAAAGATGTTTAAAACAAACGTTTTTATTGGACGACCTATAGTTCAATATAAATTGATGTATAGTATTCATGTGTAACAGAACATTCATCACTTGTTCAAAGATGCTTACGTTTGTTTTGCTGTTTCTGTGTGTAGCTAAATCGGTAGTGGCGTTAATAGCAGGTATGTTGTTAGATGGAACGGCACAGTTTTATGTTTAAATTTAACTCAAAGTCATTTTAAAAACCATCGTGATGCACCATCAGTGTATCTCTTTAAACCAAATCTGTATATTATTTGCACACCTCCTTTAAAAAGTTAGGGCTATTTTATTGCGAGCAAATTTGTTAAAACTCGCTGTCTAATTGATTTCAGATGACCCTTGCGACTATTACATTGAAATGTATGAACCTTGGAGAAAAATCAGCCACAGCAGTTCTAGATATTATTATGAAGAATATGGGATGACAAGGGATTGGTTTCGCATCACAGGACAAGCGGGAAATAAGGTGGCCAACACGGTATGAAAAGTATTTGCAGAATATCGTTTTTGTTAATATCGTTTTTTTTTTTTTTTTTTTTTTTTTTTTTTTGTAATTTTAAAAAATCTGAACAGTGATCATTGTATATATCATAATAACTGTGCCTTTGAAAAACTAGTCGTATTCAAGTGTGATTAAAAAAATCTTCCACATAACTGCAATAACTTTCGTGAGTTAGTTTTAACAAAAATATGTTGTATTGCTCATTTCGGTTGTTTATATACAATTTTTTGGTGGCTGTAAATATACCTACAGCAGGATATTACGCTAAAGATGTTGACGGATCAGCTATATTTAAGATTAGACTTAACACACATATCTGAATCTCTTAAAGTCGGTATGTTTATAAAGTAGGCCCTACATGTAGACATTTGCTCCAGTTTTATTAAGGATAGAGCTATATATTTTGTTTATAGATAAAAACTCATTTTTACTTTAAATGTTTTTAGCATTTCCCATGCTAGATATGATTTGATCGGTGCTCAGTATCATTCTTTGTTTCCTCATTTACTTTGCTGTACAATAACCTGTCCTTGAACGCTTGTTAATTATTTTCTTCTGCAATCCAAATGTGTAACTTTATTGCTACTACATGTATGTTCAAAGTGTGTCTTTTATTTGGGTTTGTTGATAATGTCATTGATTTTCTTTCTCTATATACATTGCGGTAGAACAATGGGGAAGAATGAAACTGGATAACTGCACATAAATATGGTTTAACAACAATTCATGGTTAAAGGAAAAAACTTACAAGAATATTTTTATGAATTAAACCATACCTCCTTCCTATTGTTTTTGCATATATATACGCAGTTTATGTGTCAACAAACGACCCTTTTTTTACTGTTTTTTCCAAAGTGTCCTTCGCTCAACTACTGTGGTGCCAACTACCCTATGTGGATGCTAGGAGATCATCCTACAGCGGCTGAAGGAATAGTGAAACACACACTTTGCACCAGATACTCCTCCAGCTACTGCTGCACCACTCCTAGTGAGTACTCTTATTTTAAGGGAGACGTCATCTACGTGAAGAAATGTCCAGGTGGATATTATGTGTACAGGATACCTAATCTAAAACACTGGGGTGGCAGAGCTGTATGCTCAGGTAAGTTTAAAATATGCAAAAACGAATTACCCTAAGTTTATGATTGACATGTGATACGAGCGGGACGTGACACGAACTAAAGCGCTCGCGTGTGCTTGACTAGAATTGTTTGTGCATGCCCGGTGTAACGAAACTGAGGGTCCGTGTAACATATAGTTATAATGGCTAGGGTTAGTCTGATCTAAGTGGGTCAAAATCTAGGGCAAGTCTCACCTGTACAAATGAATGGGAAGCGGACTCTGTTATGGGGGACTCTCTGTCACGTTACAATATATTTCCTGTTTCAGTGAGAGACAGCAGTGACCCGTGCCTGGACAGTAACTGTAAATACGGCTGTGTTAACAACAATGGGAATTCTAAGTGCACCTGTCCACCTGATATGGTCAAGTCTGGGGACAATTGTGGTCAGTTTTGTTTACCCCTGTTTTTGAGGGTGGCTTTAAACGCACATAAAACAAACGGCCGACATCTGATAGCTCTTACGTAAGTTATGGCAATTCGGTAAAACATTTCTTTATTCTGCTAAAGGGTGTTGCCTTTGGCACATAGAAGGCAGAAACGAATTTGACTAAACTCGTAACATAAGCTAAACATCACACACACACACACACACACACACATATTCCGCTACCTGTGTTATCTGTCTGAAATGCTGTATTCACAAATAAATGTTTTGTCTAGTGTTACCATGCCAAGTTAACAACCCTGGCTGCAGTCATAAATGCGTCAACCATGCTGATGGTACAACTAGCTGTCACTGTCCATTTTACCTGACCCTGGACGCAGACAAAAAAACGTGCAGTGAGTAGAAAGATACAGATAAAATTACCATAGCTTATATTACACAGTACATGATGGACTATGAAATGTACCATGATATAGCCAGTCAGGGGCGGATTTAAGCCGTCTTCTGGGTCTTCCAGAAGACGGTCAGATTTTCAAGTTTACACTAAATGGTATCTATCTTTTTCTGTCGGAAGACGGTCAAAAATGGAGGATGGATCCACAAAGATAATTTGGAAGACTATCAGAAAATATCTCTGGATCCGCCCCTGGCAGTGGTGTAAAATGTTTTTAAAAAATCCCCGTTCCCATTACTGTAGCTTGACATGCACGGCATAGGTATTTTGTGTGTGTGTTGATTCATGCGTCTATCACGTATTTTCAGTAAGTAAGTGCCAGACCAACAATGGCGGTTGCAGTGATTATTGTCACGAAGACGGACAAGGCGATGTCGCCTGTAGTTGTCCGGCAAATCTGGTACTCGCCACAGACAGGAAAACATGCAGTAAGGATGTTCACATATTTTCCAAATATAATTCTTTCAAGTTGCTATTAGTCTTTCAGCAATTTAAAATTGTGTGTTAAATTGTGTGTTAAATTTTACTTATCAGCTCTTGTTTCATATACATATTGTAAAACATAATTCTCAATTTAGTCACTGTTTTTATTATTCTAACAATTCGTTTTGATACATGGATAAAATGGAAAAAAATTTAATCTACCAAAAGTTTTGATTCCTCTCTCCAGAAACCTCTTGCTCTATCAACAATGGTGACTGCAGTCACGTGTGCAATGACACTGACAAAGGTGTTGTCTGCTATTGCCCTCCCAATTTAGAAATGGGACATGATATGAAAACATGTGGTAGGCCCTACGACAGTTTTTTTTTTTAATGTAGTGATAAACAAGATTCACAGGTACAAATATTATATGAGCAGATATGGCAATAACACACTAATGATTATATGAAAAAATGTGTTAAAGTGGCAAATTCTGAATATTTGTAGGAAAGGTTTATCATCATTTCATTGGCTTATTAAATATGTTTTCTTGACTAAAATTTTCTCTTTCCATGTAGAAAAACTTAATTATATAAGTTGCTGTCTGAATAATGTGTAAAATATAATCTACATTAATTTTAGACAAGGATGTGAACGAATGTCGTAACCAAACCACACCTTGTTCCAAACACGCTGACTGTACCAATACATTCGGGAGTTACACATGTACCTGCAAACTCGGCTACTTTGGGGACGGCTTCCAATGTTTAGGTAGGATAAGATACGGAGGACGGTTTAGATATCAATTGGGCCATTTTAAAATTATTAATTTAATACGAGATATTAATTGGATTATACGATATCGAAGAAATATAGGTAAAGGGGTAACATTAAGGAATGAGAGATTTAACTGTAAGCCTATATTTATAGAATTATCTTGTTGAAAAAGGTAAAATAAATTAGGGCCTATAATTCCGATGCGTACTTTTCATTTTAACATATCAGCCATTATTTTTCTCATTCTGTATTTCAGAGGAAAAACCCACTGATCCAACAACTAAAAGGTGAGAGGAGATCATTTTTTCAAACTGTTCTGGTATATGGCAACAATATTATACCTTGCATACCTGCAATAATCTGTGCATTCAAGCTTGCATCTGTTACATTTCTAAAGATGACGACCCACATACAGCTTGTAAAAAGGATAGTGATGTTTGTTTAAGCCTAAGTACTGGGGTCAGTAGAAAAGCTTGAGTTACAAAGATCAATGTATTTTGGGGAAATACATAAACAACAGGTTAACTTATTTTAGTAATTGTTTATTAGTATTATTATTTTTGTATGGTCACCAGATATAATGTAAGCTGCTGTACATTTGATTACCAAAAAGCGATATTCACTAATAATATTTACAGGTGCGAATGTCGTCTGAGGGCAGAGATAAACAGCACGGCCCCCGGTGCCATACTCTACGAGTTCCCCACCCTAATCTACGGGTTTAAAGGGGTTTGGGTACTGGAGCCCAACGCCACCGTGTCTGTCCCGATTACTGACCGCTTCCCAGATTTCTACAAAACCCGGCCGGTGCGACGTGAACTTAAGTTACCCGATCTGTACACCTGTTTACGTGTTCTTAGAGACTGTCCTTTTGATTGCGAGATACTTGCTAAATTAACCTTAGGAGACGAAGGACTTGCCAAGAAATTCCCGGTTAAGAACTCTGCTGGCGTCGACGTTAAAAAGTCCTTGGGGCAGATTTCTTGTGAGCGTTTCGGCAAAGATTTCCTTACCCCTGGCAAACGAGTGGTGACATTCTACAACTCCCCTCGTGAGTGTGGTAAAGAGGCGTCCACCCATGCGTTTGACCAACGGCTCTGCTGTACTAACTACAACGTTTCCGACATCGGTTCATTTAATGCTTGGAATAAGAATTGTACCGAAAGAATGAAGTTAGTTGATGTCTTGCCTAAATCTGTTGGAGCACATTGAATTGTAGGCCTATTCCTCAGTGAAATTCGTATAGGCACTTATCGATATCTTGCGATACAAAGTTTCGTTTAATCTAGACAACAGATACGCAAGAGTGTAGTTATTCGGATACAGATTTATGTGCAATGAATTATTCAGTTCACTTGGAGTATTGACTGAGTGCTGTGTAAGGCTCATAGCGAAGTCTTTTAAACTTGGTAGGCTTACATTCTCGTGTACATTGGATACATTTACATACATGTAGCTCCAAATTATAACTTAGAAATGTAAACAAAATTTGAAAATATATATCGGATAGCTAAAAATATTTACAGTGTTTGACTTATTTTAGTGTAAATCTTTAGCATCAGGTCAGGGCAGGTCAGGTCGCTCCCGTAGCCTCACGGCCGTTGGGGCACTTTGATGAATTCACAATTTTCCTCCATCCCTCCCGGTCCCTCGCCAGTCTGACACAAGTCGTTGCGTTTCGCTTCTTTAGCATAATATATTTTATAAAAAGCAAGTGTCGATAGTTAATGTATTGAAATGTTTGAAAATGCCGCCTTTAGATAATTAAAAAACTGAGACGCACGACACTGCAAAGTGTTCTAAATTGCAACATATTTTCAAAAGCTTTCTTTGCGGCAAGGGGAGGAAGGTTGTTGCGCTGCTGCCCTTTCTATCTATGCAATACATTTTTTCATACACGTTTTTTTTTCTCCTTTGTGATAATCAGACCAAAAACCAAATATATACAAACAATTTCGAGGACCAAGTGCCATGTTCTTCGAGGAAACTGTTTTCTTATCCTCCGTGACTTGTTACATGTAAAACCACAGTAAACTTTCTGGACGCCCAGAACCCAAAGTATGTTATTACTACCCAGCTGTAAAACCACAAGACACAGTCTCTGATAAACTTATCACCTGAGACGGTTGTGGGTATCATCTATCAGCTAGTACTTGCAAAATGATAACTCTAAAGATGCCACAATAATCAAGCACCGATCAGTACAGGCAAGGGGCAACAACGACAATTTATAATATTTGAAAAAAGGCACCAGAGCTTCCTTTGTCACCCCCTCCTCCTCTATGTAAAGTAAAACGTGTAAGTTTAATCTAACGTAACACATAGATCACACTCTCCCCGACTGTAACTTAACGAAAAATCTCTATTGCCACTCTTAAACGATTTTATATCACGCCGATTTTTAATTTTTCCAAAAGTTTTTTAAAGATATAGGTAATCCGTCAACAATTGTCAAAAAAATGATTGACTTGAATGCAAAGCAACTGAACATTTTTTAACCGGTTACGTACGTCAAACTTGATTGAAAGAATCGTTAATATGCTAACCTTATCATCACCTATTTTAATTATCCATTTTAAAATAAAAGTGTGATTTAATTACGGTTTATTTTAAATCTGTAGTCAAGAATAGAACCCGTATTTATTAGATTGGTTTTCAATTTCCTTCATTCTTTATTACTTCCCTGGCCAGTGTGCATGCATATGCGTGAACTTAAGATGAAACCTTGGAAAAAAAAAAGAGGCAAGTGGCGGTGTACGATTAATCATGACTTTTCTTCCTTCATTTATTTTTCAAAAATCGATTTTGAACAAAAAAGGAAAATCTAAAACTACTTAATGTTTCAAAATGTGCATTATCTGTTTGCGGCACTGTTCCAGAGAGAGAGAGGAGAAAGATTTAATGCAACTATTTTTAGTTTTAGAAATTGTGTACTCTTTTGCTTTACTGTATATTAAGAGGAGCTGTGCTCGCACGTGTGTGTGTGTGTGTGTGTGTGTGTGTGTGAGAGAGAGAGAGAGAGAGAGAGAGAGAGAGAGAGAAGATAAGAGAGAGGGAGATCTATACCACATATTTTTCTTCAAGTTTGTAACGTATGAGAGAAGGAAATGGGGGATAGAGAAAGAGGGGATTTAACGAGAATATTTCTTTTCAATTTCGGATGAGCAATTATTAATTTTTAGAAACAGTTGATTTGATATGTTAAGTGCAAATCTTAGTAACCTTGAATATACCAGAACAGTTGTTTGGCGAAGCCGCATTTAATTTTCCGAGAAATCTTCCGCAAAAACCCATCTTAAAAACATCACGAATGTGCACAAACAAGTGTCAACTTATACTGAGATAATATAACTCCTGCTCAGGAGTCTAATGATGCGAGAAACTTGGTATTTGTTCGCCCAAGATCTATTTGTCAGATTGTCGATTAATTGTAGAGAGATAAGAATATTGTTACCCGAGGACTATTTTTACCACAAATGAAAAACAAATAATGTTTACTATAAATAGTCTTATCGGTTCAAATAAATCACTGCAATTTCTTCGGTTGGAAGACTCTTTATAAGAATTGTTTGGAGATCTGTAAGTTTAATCAAAGCTACTTGAAGTCTTTCCAAGATGTCACTCCAATATAACAACATAATCTAAGTCACCAGTTTTGCAATTGGTCAATTTTTCTTTTGTCACGCACGGGCACTCAGACACACACGCACAAACGCACACACACACACACACATACAACAGTAAAAAAATTGCGTTTCTTAAATTACATGCTTTTTCAATGTTGTCAGTGATTATGAATCACTGGAAAATTTGCATTAGGTTTGATATGTTCTAATTAATTTTGCCTTAAAAATCCCTCAGACATTCTTGTTCTCTCTATCCCCGAAAGGATGCAGAAATAATTTATATGACAGTAAATCACAATTTACAAAGTACTTACGCCTTGCTCTCAGTAACACAGTTACCAGGCACTTACCGCTATTAATTTACATTATCCTTGGTTTGACTAATGACCACTGTTGTTGCTAACACTAAATTATTATCCCATCTCTTTTTCTTTCTCTCTCTCCCCCTCTCTCCCTTCCCCCCTCCCACACACACACACACACACACACACAAACACACACACTCACCCGGTAAGACACCAGTGATACACAAATACACGCAAAGGCACGTGAACAAGCAGACACAGAACGGGTTAGATTTGTACATCCCACAATTTCGGAAGCGGGATTTAATTGTTTACTTATGATATTTATATCTACAAAGATTGCATTTATTCATACTAATCGCGTTTTATTTATTGTGAGGTTTGTCTAGTATAGGCTAGTATAACGACACGCCTTTGAACGTTATTTTTACGATTTTCTTAATCCTCTAGAAGGGCCACAGATTGACTTTCACTAGATATTCACAGATATGTCTTTGGATAATTTTTCAATTTTTCAGTGCAGTCCAGCAATTTTTGCATGGAATAAAACAGGCCGTAGCCAGGGGTTTCAAACCAGTCGCCCTTTTTGCCAGTAAAAGGTCTGCTCTGGATAAAATTTGATCTAGATACCGGGAGGGGGGGGGGG